AGGATGGAACACTTCAGGTATATTGGAGTTAAAGCAGCGTATAACCAAACAGATTTGTTCCAACTAGATGTATCCTCAGCCAAATGAAAGCTGACAATCGTTTGCCGAGTGCAAACACTGCTACAATTAGATAAAAATGTAACCTAAAAATAAAATTCGGACATATATATATATATATATAGCAAATACGACTTAAAAACGTCACACTGAAATTATTTTAATTAAACATGGCGCAACTACGCAAAAACAATGCATGCTGTCCAACTAGTACTGACAACTGAGAGGCGATCGCTCATTATAACACTGTTCATGCGAATGTTATTAACACATGCAATCAAAAGCTCTTACGTGCTGTTACGACTCTGTCTAAGTTATCGATCACTGGCACGCGGCCCCCGCCGCAGCTACTGTGCTGGATGCGTTGCAAACTGTACGGCACTGGTGCAGGATACGCCACTGTAACTTCAGGAACAGTATGTGATTTAAAAAGGAAAGAAAAAAAAACATGCGCAACCAGCGCTGCAGATCTCGGCATCCCTGTACGCATCACAAAACAGCACTGCCACCTTCAACAAAACTGCCACAGCAACCTTTACTGGGGGGAGGGTGTCACAAAATTATTAAAATAGTCAGAAGAAGCGCCCATAAACTTTTATCCAAAACGTTCCAATAAGTGCAATGGCTGAGATCAGCCACGTCAGACATAAATCATAAAAAATTACCTCTGAATTCAAGACAACAACAGCTGTAGACGTTGCTCTCCCTCGCCGTTATGCGGCGCAAACCCCTTGCATTGCCTACGTATATAACTGCCTGTTTATTTTATTCAATCTTCAATCGGACGCGCAGCTCCCCGCACACACCGCACTAACTGGCGCAAGTACAACAACTCGCTAAAGCGCTGACGGCGCCGTAGAAATGACAGCTGCATCCACCAATAATCGCATCGATAAAGCATGGCAACATAGCGCTTATTGGCTCGGGGTACATATCGCTAACCAATAACCGTCCGCACTGTAACGTATTAGGGACTGCTGCGCGTTGTATCAGCAGCTGCGTTATTTTGTCGGGAACCGCAACTGCGGCTGAGCGGTTAATCGTATTGCGGAGAGTGGTTTGTGGCATTTCCCAGTTATTCACAATGTTCAGTGACTGGTTAATATACTTAAAACAATGATACTCGAGGTGAATATGACAGATATTTTAAATTCATGATCTCCATTCAAAGTTTACCACAAATAAAAAATAAAAATTAAGTAGATTTGTAATGAGAATATATATATGTGTGTGTGTGTGTATATATATATATATATATATAATTACTAATTTTACTCAGTGAAACGTTTCGTCTGTCGTGTTATGTGCTTCGTCCATTAGCAAGAATAAGTGTTAATGGCGACATCTGGCGGATTTGTTGCAGGCAACTCAAAATTCCACGATCAGTTATTTTGCATAATTTTTTACATTTAAAAATGCAATATGGAGACAAATTATCTATGTATCATCTATGCATTGCAATACTCAAATGACTTAACTGGCAAAACGAATTATTGAAACTTTTAGGTGTGTTTGTTTTCAAATTTTACTTTTTATTATGCAGTGTAAGTGTGCATATATATTTATGATTAGTTTTATTTAGACATTACTACATATGGGAAAGAAAAATGTAGGTAAAAATGCATAGAGGTGGTAGCTTTTTGTGAATCCATTTTGGGCACCTTGGAAGTATTACTAGGAAATACTGACTGTTTGAATCGGTAATTGTTATGCCATTTGAATGTAAAATCATCAATACGTCTATCATACCAATTACCAGAACATAAAATAAGCAATTGTTATTTTTTGCAGGGTTATTCCAACCGCCCTGTTTCTCTTGGAAATCTAAATCTAATATTAAATCTTTACAGCGCATCTTGAGGAACGCGCGTTATCACAGTAAAATTGTAAAATGAAGCACACAGGGTCGATTGTTCAAACCTGAACAAGTCACATATTTTCTTACACTCCACTGCCGTATCTTCGTAGCGCGCACTTTGGATCAATGTCGCGTTCTGATTCTGAATTAAACCCAATGTCAACGTGCCATTAGAAATCACCCAAGGCCACTAGAGGTCACTTTTTTTGCGGCTTATTATAAACCTGATCTGCACATGGTGTACCTTTTGGTTTAAGGAGGGAGCGGCGCACTTTAAACAGGGTCCCATATCAGATGGTATTAAAAACCCGTTTAATACTTTGAAATTGTACATCCTGTAGGATTAAACTTTAAAGTTAGAGAGGGTAATATTTACCCAATCTTTTTAATTTGTTCTGACATTTTAAAATTTTCAATAAAAAGTGTTCTTACTTTTACTAGTAAAAGTCACGTCTTCCAAACTGAAGAGAATAGGATTCCAATCACTCACCAGATGAATTCACACAATTCTCCTGATTTTGTACTATGACTAAAAGCAAGAGTACACAGATTACCTGTTTGAACATAGGAATATAATTTTGCATATAACTTTGGAAGAGGAAGCCTACAGATCCACACAAAGGGCTACTGCAGTCTGCAGCTATATAACAAACCACGTCAACATTTAACATCTTCTTTCGAACCACAAGTTTAAACCAGTATTTCATTGCAATCCACATAAAGCAAAGTTGTGAATGGTGCATAGTCTTTAACACATAACTTAAACGAACATAGTGAAACGTAACCCAGCTGAATGCTCAATGGCCAAAGGCTGAAATCAGGCAGGATAAACTGTGATAATAGGACCTTACAATTATCAAACCAATTCAGAAAAATACAGAGATAAGGTTTTCCAAAAGACACTCAATAGCCCACACTGTCAGAAGAAGGGTCTGCCAACTGTATCGTAGCTGTAGGTAAATTTACCCTTTAGGTGACGAAATGGACTCTGGAACATTTCGTATCATTGAGGGGTACATTAATGGTGTTTGTGCCTTGGGGTACAAACCTATACCAGAGCTGTACCCTTTTTTACTGTCAGTGCAGATGTTCATCTAATCCCTTTTGACAAAATTTGATCCTTCACAGACTTGAATGTCCCCTTTTTTACCATTTACAGAGGGAGAACCAACCACCCTCTAAGTGCATGAATCAGACCTCACTTTTTAGCCACTAAGAAAACAGCTGAATGTGTTTTAATATTCATATAAGATTCATACATTAATTTGTATGTCTGTATCATATGCATAATATAGCACAGGCGTGTCAAATATTTGTTCATTTTTAGCTA